CAGCGAGTTTGTATTTTTACTTAAGAAATGTTCCCAGGGTGGTATTTTGTTGGATTTCTACTAAAGTAAAGGATGTGAATACTTCTTCCACCACTGAATTTAATATCAAGGTATGGGATTATTGTGTAGAGGGGGGGGGTTTTGAGTTATTTTTGGGGCTTTTTTGCCTTTATTGTATAGGACAATGAAGAGAGAGACAGAAAAGTGGGCGAAGAACTTGCAGCACAGGACCATGAGCAGGATTCGAACCCATGGCTGCTGCATCGGAGACTATAGCCCCTGTACATGGGTCACCAGCTCAACCAGGTGAGCTATAGCGGCGGCCCATTGTGTAGAGTTTTGACTATTGATGCAAAACATGTGAGTAATATTTCTATATGCATTGCACTTTACATGTTCAGACTCTGCAAAACTTTTGCTAAAATTTGTGGATTGGATGCTTCTTTGCATTTGCAGTGGTGGTGTTGCTGATATTTTGTGTTTTTCCTTTTATTTGACATATTTTTATACTTCATATGTCCACATGCAAAGGAATAAGTCCATTGTATAAGTCTATTGTTTTTCATCATGTGTATGGCAATAAATGCTTTGACTTGGGCCTGTGGAATAATTAAGCAAATGGAATTAAATACTTAATATTAAGTGCTGCAAAAATACTCATCCACTATAGCACCCTATATTTATTGTGCATATGTTTTTTATTATTATTTTCTGTCTCGCTGCAATACATTTGGTCTCCCTCTGTAAAGTACTGACATTATAAGTGTGGAGATTTGTCAGTCATCTGCTCTTTGCATATCTAAAAATGCTCATTCAAGGACAACTGGATCTTTTCACTTCTGAAATGTAGAAGCTTTGTGGATGAAAAGCAAAACATCTTCAAGAATCTAAAGCATTTTAAATGACAGTAAAGTTTCTGTCTTGTAAATCCTTCAGTTCTGTCCCCATTTATATGAATAACATTTACATTCTTCCAACAACTTGCTTTGAATGCAGTGTCTGAATGCCTCAGGATAGTGTCTTAATGACTTTTGTGTTATTATTCCAAGGCAAAGGTGTGATGCAGTTTTCTTAAGAAGCAGCATATTTGATCACAACAAGACACTGATTGATGCGGGGAAACGTGGAGTTCCCTGCAAGCCTGAGAGTGTGTCTACTGCTGAATGTTACAACAGCCTTACTATAACCACTGATCTTAGAGCTGTCACAAATTTTTACTGTATTTTTATCGTGGGCAAAAGGATTTATAAAAACAATACTGTCACAATATATATTGAAAATGTACAAACAATCAGACACATTCATTTTGAAATGTGTTTATTGTGTGCTGTAGTACTGTATCATTTATGAAAATTCTACAAAAATATATTTTTTTCATTTTTTTGATCAAGTATTTCATATTAAAAAGTATTCTACATGTTTTGTTTTGTATGAATACATACGACTACATATTGTTCAGAAAATATCACTAGCTGACTGATGCTTTTAGCAGTTTTTTCTAAATAATATGTTCTGAAAGGTGAGACTTTTGATGACAACTTCTTGTTTTTCCATCTTTTAACTCACCCATAATCAGAGACGATTTGATTTACTTGTCCAATTCTGCAGATTCTGAATAAACATGATGAGAAATAAGTGAAAATTTCAGGCTTTCATCTTTAAGAGTTCCTGAGATATTGTGTTTTAAACATAGCGCAAAATTTGAAAGTTTGAAAAATCTTAATTAAAGTGGGTTGATGGTTTGTTTGTTTTTTTTCAATTATCTCAGAAAACATTTCATATATTGCTTAAAAAATTACAAATACTATTGTGAATATCCATACTTCATGATTTAAAACAGTTTCAAGCAGAAGGTCTCCGATGACTCCAGATGGAATGACCCAATGTGTGTAAACATTTTGTGTATTAGCAACATGATATCAATTCTTCATTTTTTAAATATCACAGTTATCATCAATACATCATCAATACTACAATATCACAACACCACTAATTCTTTATATTAATTGTTTAAAAGTGCTAAATAAGTACAGTCTATTTAATATTTACAATATTGGTCTCAGTTTCTAGGGAGACTCATTTCTTGCACTGTGAACAGCTCATGTCTTCATTGAGCCTTTGTGGTGACAAACACAGTTCCACAGCACACAGCTCTACTGTATGCACTGACATGTGTCGCACAAAAAAGTGCACTCACACACACACACACACACACACACACACACACATACACACACACAGTAAGATGATGGATTAATAGTCAGTGAGTGGTCAGACAGGCCCTCCAGGGAGCCGACCTGAGGCAGAGAGGCCACCCAATCACCACACACTCCTGCAGTGTGTGTGTGTGCGTTTGCAGCCTCGTGGATGTGACACAATACTTCCTGCGTGACTTCTGTATAAAGTCGTGCTTTCAGAGGCGACAAGCAAGTCCTAACCTGACTACTGACATTTAAATAGTTTGCACAAACCGGTTCAGAAGAAGCCGCCGAGTATCGGATCAAAGTGTGATTGATGACAGATTAACGGGAGCTATGAATTCATTAGGAATAAATCATTGAACCCAAAGTAAGTTTTGCTTGATTTATCTGATGATGCTTTACAGTGCTGCAGTGATTAATGGACTCACAAACTGTAGTCAGAAAAAAGCTAATGAAATTAGAATTTGAAATTTAGTTTCATTTGAATAGCCAGCCACTGGTGCAAATAGCAAATCGATTCCTTTTGCGTAGGTAAATGTTTGATGCATTTAATCAATCCAGCTTCACATTATACCACATTATACATCAATACACTGATGGAACGTTACACATCAGGCTGTCTGCTGAGGAATAATCTCACTGCATTGACTTTCTGTTACTGCGTTATACAACACATTTATGACTGCTGCTGCTGCTGCTGCTGCACCTTTTTTTCATTTCATTTTATCAGCGAATAGGCACACATTTGACCATAGAATCACATCAGCAGACGTATTACTGCCTGAAAATCAACATTAGTCACAGGGATAAGATATCTGATCCAAAGGCCCGACTGTGAGGATTAGTCACCATGGAAGAGGAACAAGGCTGTGTGAAGCTGAATGAGGGTTTACTGTTACACCTTTTGATTCCTGCTTACGTGCATGAGACAGTATCATGTGTCAAATGCAGCTTTGTGCTATCAAAACAAACCAGGAAACTGCCAAGTGCGTCTCGGCAGAGCTGTCCGAGAACAAATCCCGCGCTGTGACTGATGGCTGGCGTGGATCATCAAGGTAATATTAAAGTCTGAGGTCTGAGAATTTCAAACACATGACTCACGGAGTGCTCAAATATAATGTGAACGTCGGTGCGTATCGCTGACAGCTTCCAGTCACATCCATCAGTAACAGCAGCTGTGTTGTTTGGTCCCATTTCACTGCGTGTTTGCACAGCTGTAAAGGTGTTTACCGTGCTTAAGGTGTGTTAAAACTGAGGTAATCCTGAGCAACCTGACATAAAGTCTATCAAAACAGTAGATGAATAGAGTCTGGTCTCTATTCATTACTATGACAAAGATTTCCATTTATCACGGTTAGTCAAACCAGTTAGGTTTAAAATTGCAGCAGGGTGACATTAAAATCATTTTATCTAAATTATTACGAGCAGTTCATGTGTTTTTATCAGGTTGTGACATTATTATGAGGAGGAAAAGACACTTTTCATGCAATCAGAACTTTTTTGCCAGGTAGATGAACTGGAAAGATGATTTATAAAAGTGTAAATCAATTAACCGATTAGTTGTCAACTATTAAATCAATTTCCATCTACCTCGATAATCGATTGATCAGTTTGAGTACTTTTTTTAATTTAAAAAAAAAAAAAAAAGTAAACTTAACTGATTCTAACTTCTCATGTGAATATTTTGTGTTTTTTCACTCCTCTGGGACAGTAAGCTGAATATTTTTGAGTTCTAGACAGACGAAGACATTTAAGAACATCACCTTTGATCAACATTTTTTTTACAGTTTTCTGACATTTAATAGACCTGGCAACTAATTTATTAATCGAGAAAAGAATCCACAGACTGTTCAATGAAAATAACCATTAGTTTCAGCCCTGTAGGAATTAATTCATGTGCAACTCCTTAATTTCCATTGAACACCAGCATACAGCTTGTAATGCCAAATAATATTAAGACAATGGCCACTTCACTGACCTTTTTTACCTACTGTAACTAAGTCAGTTAAGTCAAGTCACCATTATTTATATATCATACTTAAAACAGTTGACATTGACCAAAAGATGTTTCCCATAAATAAACAACATTACACATGTCCTCACATTATTAATTATGACACTAATTTATCTGATTAATATAAATACTAAAGACCTTACAAAATTACACACATTTAGCTAACTCGTGTAAATATTTAAGTTAAAACCCCCCAGTGGTACATATGAGTATGCTCTACTGTGGGCTGTAGAAATTGCAGAGCTTCGTTTTGACTTTTTGACTATTATTACTATTATTGTTTTTATTTGTTTCTCTGTCTTTTTTCTTTTATTATTGGACAAGTGTGATATTTCCGACAGCAGTGAAGGCAGCATCTGACCGCGAAAACTCCGGTAGACTTTGAAGAGAGGAGACGTAGAGAGGTAAAAAACAACAAAGCTAGGCTTAATTTAAACACCATTAAGTCTGGGGACTGATATGTAGCTGTTTTATTCAAACTCGGTGTGAAAAACATTTGATAAATTTCACCATTTAGCTGGCTATTTAACCAAGTGAGCAGCTGTTCGTTGGTTTAAGCTAACAAGCTAATGTTTGGTCTAAGCTACCAGTCGGTTTTAGCTAATGTCTGATTTTAATGTTTGGTTTTAGCTAATTTTAGAAAACATAAAATGCATGAATATTTAATGTCCAGGTGGAACTAAAACCCATATGTTAACTTTCATTGCTTTATTTGCTTTTCCTCATTTACCAGAGTCTCTAATTGCTATAAAAACCAAACTGCTCCAGTATAATGAGCGAACAAAATGGCTGCCTATGTTAACATCTCTGAGCTGCATCCCAACATCTCTCATCCGGTGAGTACAGATGATTTTCCACCAATTACTTTGATGTAACATTTTTGGACAACCTCAAAGACATTTTAGGCATACTCCAAAGGAAAATCATCAGCACCAAAATTATGAAAAAAAGTCTTAAGCAGGTTTGTTCAGACACTTTTGTTTATCATTGGTCAGAAATAGCAAGAAAATGCATGGTTTCCTGTCAGATAAGGCCATGCAGATTCATTGCTCTTGCTCTAACTTTGCTTGTTTAGGGGGTTTCTGGATAAACCTGTAACAAGCTCAATTCAGCGATGACATTGCTAAAAGAACTTCTAATAACTTAAAAATGTTTCCCGAAGAAATCTTATTTAAAGGGTTCAACATACAGTGTATTCTGTGCAGACTGATTGTCCTTACCATCGTGTGTGAACGCCCAGTCTGGGCCAGGAAAAGCTCTAAATGTAATTTCTTTCTTGCAGAAGTCCCTAAAACAAAATCTGTGTCTAATAGCCTTGGATTTCTTTTTTTTTCAGCTGTTGTTGTACACTGATGGAAAATGGTCTATTTTCAGGCCTGTTTTACTTTGTTTGTTTTGTAATCTGTTTTGAATTATTAACATCATCATATACAGTTCCGCTCACTGTTCTTGTCTCTAATGTTTTTTTCAGAAAGTGGTTGGCATCGTTATTGGAAAAACTGATGTCAAAAGCTTCCCTGACAGAAAAAGTTAGTACCAGTTTCTTTCTTTCTTTCTGCTAGTGCATATACAGTAAACTGTTATCCACAAACTTCTTCTAACAGTCCTCCACTGTACTCCCTTGTACACCAGCTCCCTCTCCTGGTGATGGTTTTTAATACTCGTTGAGTCTTTCTGTCTTCTTTCTCTCAGTTTCTCTCACTTCACTAACCAGATCTACATGTTTGAATTTCAGATTCAAGTACTGACAGATTCACTTGTGGCTTCACCATCAAGGACTCACCTGACTTCTTCATCAATGTCTCAGCCTGGGGAAACGACACATATATCAATGGGCTCTCCAACAGCTTCAGCATTGGAGACTGTGGTGGGGAAGTCAATCTTAAAGCTCTCACAAGCCTCGAAAAGTAAAAGTAGTAAACTGTATTTAGGGGGTCTTGGTTGAGCTGGCGTCCCATGTGCAGGGGCTGAAGTCCCTGACACAGTGATAGTGAGTTTGAATCCGGTTCATGACACTTTGCTGCAGGTCCTTCCCCCATTCTTCTGCTCCACTTTCCTCCCCCCGCTTCACTACACTTTCAAATGAAGGCACAAAAGGCAAAAAAAAAAAAAACCTAAAAAAAACCCCATATATATTTAATTGTTTTGTTTTTAAAATGCCAACGAAAGAGATGACTTTCTTTATCAGCATATTTTGTGTATTTGTCAGGATCTCCCTTCGCTGTGCCCTGGATTATAACTATTCTCCTTTAAAATATTTGACATATATTTCAAAACATACGTTACACGTTACAGTTCACACAAATTAACACATCTCATGACATGTTTGACATAAAAGTCAACACAAGTATTAAACTAAAGATATAGTATCCAGATTAATAAAAAGACTACAAAATGAAACTACACTCATGTTCAGCTTTGTTGATGCCAGTTTTGAACACTTCATTGTCAGTTTACATGTACAAAGACTCAGCATGCTCTTCTGACAAACCTGCACTTGTACATCTTTTCTTGGAGTGAAAAATCAGGCTGCACTCGCAAAAATCAACGTAATAACAGGATAATTACAAAAAATGTTTGTTAACTTTAAATCTAAACTTTACCCATACAACTGTAGTGATGATGCTCAGGAAGTCAGGACATTCATTCAATGAAATATCAGTGAACTGAACTGTTTCCTGTTATTCCTTCCAGTCACAATTGAAAATCCTTTAGTTGCCACCAAAGACTTGGAGAAAGGAGACCGATTCAGCCCTACGACACCAAGGTAATTCAAACTTTTAACACAGATGTTGTATCATGTTCGCCCTGCTGGGCTTTAAGCTGAACACAGTGTCACACTGAGTAAAATATGATGTAACAGCGTGTAACATCCAATGATGGTGTCAAAAGACTCAGTGTTTGAAAGGCCTGTTTCTGCTGTTTCAGCCACTACAGGCTGCTGGTGACGGAGGCTCATTCCCTGGTGAGTCCGTGTGCTGACACGGAGACTGTTGAGCTGCTGCTGCCATTGATTCACCTGCCTCCCAAAGACTCCAGCGATTTCTACTCTCTGGTAGACATAGTGGCCAACGGACAAAAGCTGGACGGCTCCGTGATAAATGTACTGGCTGCAGTGAAGCTGGTAGGACACATTAAGGCCACAGCCTCATAAACAGTGTTACTACAAAAGTTCCTCTTGGTTACGCTCAAGCTTTTATAGATCAGTTTAAGCATTTCCAGAAGCTGTTTTTCACAGAGCTTTTAATTTGTTTGTTGTGCCCATATTTTCTTAAGCCTGTCTGATGAGCTTTTACGTTGGATATTGATTTCTTGTTTTTTTTTTATATATATATAAGTGAAGTCAGTAGAATGACAGTGTTGGAGGAAAAATAGTGTAGTTCTGTTTTTTATTTTAGGAAATGTGCTTATTTGCTTTCTTGACAAGTGATAAAGTGTGATATATAAAGTTACCCCGAGTAGCTTACCTTAGCAGGTTCGCTCCAAAGCTAATAAAATCTGAGATACAAAGGGTTGATAATTGAGCTCTAGAGTGGCTGGATATTGTTATCTAAGCAAATGCTGACAACCTGATATACACACCTCAGACTTTAGAGAAGTATTAATCTTCCAATCTGACTCTTGGAAGGACAGCAGCTAAGCAAAATTCCTGAAATGTCAAACTACTTTCCACACTGAAAGCCACTCTTGGTGGGAAAAAAAAGTATTTGCTTTTATTTTTGTGATTCTTTTAAGAATGGAAACTAGTCGGGTCGGCACGTCCATCCAGAAGGACTTCAAAGGGCTGGAAATTGCAGCCTCGTGTTACTTTGCCTGAATATTTTAGGGAAGAATTTTCCATTAAGATCATGCAGCCTGCTCTCCACTTGGTTTATTTTTAATACTTAATTTTCAGATTCCCCATTTTGTCCAAACAAGTTTTGGTAGTTGAAGCAGCTATTAGTATGTTAATTCCCTCAAGAAATAGACAGTTATAGGTTTATAGTTATAGATAATTAAATATGTTTAAAGTTTGTTTAAATGATCAACTGAGTCTTTAAAAAAAAAAAAAAGACTCCTGCTCAGAAGGTCTTTGTGGGCTAACGGTCATGATCCGCAATCAAATAAGTCGGTCATTGAATCAGTCATGGTTCAAACTGGTCATGAAATGTATCCAGATATCGTACTTTTTTCAAAGGTGTTTTTCAAACAGGAGTAAAATTGATTATCTCACTGTAAAACCAAAAAGTATTTTCCAACTTTTCTCACGCACTGATTGCACTAGATGGTGGTTATTCTCCACTGTGAGCTCAACTACGGTGGAAAATGGGCTGTTAAATTTTCCTGAGCTGAAACACAACATCACCAAGGAGGGAAGGGTAGTTAAAAAGTGGTCATTATGAAAGGCGGTCATGGAAAAGTCATGGTACCTGTCAGTGAGGCTGCGGCGGAAAGCCTGATAAGCGTGAAGTGGGACGTTTCCGACAATGACTGTGGATGCTTGGCAAATATTTCATCAGTTAAAGCAACTTTGCAAATCAGATATGTCCGAGATTTCTAAATGTACCTAATTCATATCTCATACGTTTCCAAATAGACTTCAGTGTGGCTGTTTTGTCTGTGTGGTTCCATGGTGAATACTTGTTGTAGGCTTGGAACATACCAGCTCACCATAATGGCCCTGAAGACGTGCTTCAGAGTTCACAGGGAGGCCAGACCCACCCTGCGTTTAATGTCACTGCATGTTTTTTTTTTTACATGAAGGGGAAGATACTGTGATAGGAAGCTCACATGATTCTGTTTACATTTTCAGATTGGAGTGACGAAGCAGTTCACCACTTCAGACGGACGCAAAGGGCAGCGGCTGGAAGTGAAGCTCTTTGATGACTCAGTCTCCTCCTTCCCCCTCGTCTGGTCCGTCACGGCCATTTATTAATTTGGAAACCGAATAGAGATTTATTGCTTCTGTTGCTTTTGCGCCATGTTCCATCTTACTGCCTCTCGGAGCGACCACTGTGCATCTTTAGCTCGCCGCAAATTTACTTTGGTGACACAAAGCTTTAGATTAACCCCCTGAACTGCATGTGCGTTTGATTTTCTCTGCGCTCTCCCCCGAGTGACTCCCTGACCTCTGCTTCACTTACAGCTGGGACAGAGAGGCCATTCAGCTCATGCAGACTTTGATACCCAAGAAGACGGGTAGGCTAACAGCTGCTGCTCGTTCTCAGCCACAAAATGAATCTTTATTTAACTGTTATTCCCGCCTGTCATGTCGCGTTAGCATACTGTACTGAAGAGAAACACAGCAGCGGATATCTGAGATGTGACTGTGTGTTTATGTTTGAGATAACTTTCTGTTGTTTTAACTTTTATTCTTCATTCAAAGTCCTCTTCATAGCCGATGCCAAGATTAGCTTTGACAGCTTTCGCAGCGGCATGGTGGCAACTGTTACCTCAAGAAGCATAATCACTGTCAATCCCGGTAAGAAACCACAGCGACAAAACACAACATCTGATTGAGCCATTTATTGTGCAATCAATCAGAAACAACACTGAACTGCTGGTTTAGGATACGAACCATCAGTTGTGGTGTCCAGTGCAAGTAGAAACACCAGCCTCCTGCTGTGCAAATAAACAGTTTTCAGTGAGGAATACATGTCAAAGGCAATTATATTTTGTTCTCAGACATGAAAGAGGCCAGTTTGCTGTTCAGCTATGCCAAACAATTGTTAGAATCTGGAGCTCTGGATCAAGATGAGACTCCAGAGGACATGCCTGGTAGGTTGTATTCGCTTCATTCTTAGTGGAATCAGGTCTTGCTGTGTGTTAAGAAAATGTAAGAATGAAGGAGGGGGAAGAATTACAACTAAAATCAAGGTCCTGCCATTGAAAGTGGGTTTGAAAAATACAAGGACCTTACTTCAGTGGGTTAGAGACAAACTAAAACACACTAACACATGTCAGCTAGAACTTTTGTAAGGGTGCCTGGATTTTTTACGCCATTTTTTTGGTTGTAATTCCTCCACCTTCCTTCGTCATTATTCCCTTCCGTGATCATTGGTTGTTTGAGGGACACCAGCAGCACCTTTCTCTCTAAATTTGCCAAACAGAGGCGCCTACAAAAAGACTGCAGTTGTAGATAGGAGTGTCTGTTGTCGTCTGTGCAGTGGAATCCATCACTGACGTGTACACAGTGAGACAGCTGAAGCAGAAGGTCCAGGAGAGTCCTGAAGCTTTATTTGGCATCACGTACAGCTTCATCTCCAAGCTTGACCTCGACTCCTCAGTTTCAAAAGTCATCCGGACGCGATGGTAAGTTCACAGAACATAGAGTGGAAGAATTATTAAATTGTGTGTGTATACTGCGATACGTCTGTCAGCCACTCTCCATTGTCTCTTGTGTCTCAGCTCCAGGTGTAGGTTCCTGGCATCTGAGGACATGCTGAGCTGCACCAACCAGCTGTGTCCGGGGAGGGATCAAGCTTTTTCAGCCACCACAGGCTTCGACCTAATGGTGGACGTATCGGACCACACCGACACCCTGCACGCCTGCATCCTCAGCAGCCCAGTGGCAGAGAAGACGCTTGGCTGCACAGTCAGTACCGCTTCACAGAAGGATCGTTATTTAGTCTAAATATGGAAAACACTCAACATGTCCTGTATGCATCCCATGAAATATATGTCCGTGTTCTCCTGTGCTTTGACTAAACTTCAAATTCTGTGCAGGTTTGGAATCGTAATTAAATCATTGTCAGTTGAAGCCATGTCTTACAAATGGTTGGAAATAACTGAAAACCTCACAGATTTGCACATAGATTTTGGGGTTATCATTCAAATTATTAGTATATGAAAGATGTTGTGTCTGTGCTTCATCTGAGACAAACAGCACGTTTGTTTGATGCGTTGCAGACAGAGGAGTTCACCAGTTTGACAGAAGACGAGCGGACTGCAATGAAGATGAAATTTCTTTTGGAGAGGTGCAAAATATATGTGAAGGTACTGCCGCTTGTGGTTTTGTGTTATGCGGGTTCGCTATGAATCTAAATTACAGTGTTAAAGAAATCTTGTGATATGTTGTAGGTCTTCTCTTCTACGAAGCTAAAGACGGGGGTCCGGGGGACCATTCTGTCCTGCTCACTGGCAGATCCAGGGGAGGTTAAACAGCACATGTCTGCTCTGCTGCAGCAGCACTGACAGAACAGGAGAGTGCATGTGTTCAGTTGTCTGCTTTACCTGCTGTTTGCTACAAAGTGTTCAGACTGAGATATCTGTAGACGTTTAAACATGTGGGCAGTTTCATAGTCAGAAAAATGGTCTGTTTGGTCCACATTATTTATTTAACTTATTTATCTAAATGTATTTATTGAAAAACATGCTGTTGGCTGGTTTAATGTTTAAGCTGTGTTAAATAAATTGTTCATTTTCAAAAAAAAAAAAAAAAGTATTTTGTCTATTAAGCTGTATTATAATGGATTAACTTTATTCAGCAACCTGGATTTGAAAACACACCTATAAATACACACAAATTAGACAATGGGAACATTTTCTAAGTTTAGATACGTGGTCATGTAGGTGCCACACACACATTAACAGTGCATTTAAATGGACAGTTTTAAACTAGATTTATGTCTTGATCTGGATATTTTATCCTTATTTTAATTAGCATATTTAAAATCAGTTTACTTGAATTAAATGTAATCTTACTGTTTTATCACAATTGTTGTTTTTACATTGCACCAAAAGAAAGGAGAGGCATGCATAATTCAGAAAAAAGTTGCTGTCCATAAAACAACTGTGGAAAATATAATTTGTTTTCATTGCCTCTATGTTTTTAAGGTCTCTCATGGTGGCGCCGTATTGATGCAGCTTGTCAGAAAAATGCCCAAAATCTGTTTTTGGAGTCCCCCGTCTCTTTTTGTGAATATGGCATTGTCCCAGGTGTACAAATGTAAGTTAAATAAATAAAATGCCAAGTTTCCCAGAGCCACAGGTCCTCACTGTAGTTCTATTGTCCATTTGTCCTGTTATGACAAATCAGCAGCAGATGGCGGTAGAGCATTAAATACTGAAACGGAACCTTTGAAACACGGAGGCATGTAGCTAGGGGACACATTAAGGAGACGTACTGATTTGTCGTCAACACCAACAGCAGAAGGTGATGAAAACTTTGCAGATTTCTGCTGTTAGTCAGGTTTTGTCTGAAGTAGTACATTTTTATTACAGTTGAAAGTTTTGAAGCTTAAAGTAGAACCGTTCGTTGTATAGATTTCGTTCCCGTTAAGCTTAGCTAGCAGGTCGTGCTAACGTTAGCTTGGATGTTAAGTTTGTTCTGTTAGTTAAACGTTGTGATTTAACTACATTCCTGTAAAGCAGAACCAAACTGTAGCTCATTACTGTTTAATATATTCCCCTGCAGTGTGTGACTAACTGACAGCCAGCTGTCCAGCATGAATGTGAACCAGGGGACGGTGGGCAGCGACCCGGTCATTCTGGCCACGGCTGGATACGACCACACTGTCCGCTTCTGGCAGGCCCACAGCGGGATCTGCACCAGGACAGTGCAGCACCAGGACTCCGTATCCTCACTCTGACTGACAGACACCCTTCTGGGACATGCAGACACTGACACAGAGATTCTGCTGTTTTCTGAAGCATGAAATCCCCTAAATGTCTCTCTTACATCAGATATGTTGGTGTCAAAACAGCTGCTGTTTATGTGTCTGTGGATGTTGTCACTGCTGCAGTTTGACCTTCTGTTATCTACTAGAAGAGGACACTTGTTCACAAATCCTGAACAATATAAATGTAGCGTGCAAATATTATTTTTTTTTCCAGATGTGGAGAAAAAAACGTAAAAATTTCATCTAAATTTTGCGAATTGTCCACCAAAACTTTTTGATTTTTAATTTCAACCACTTAGTTAGGCCACAAAGGACAGCAATCAGATAACGTGACCAGTGGCTACAGAACTCCACCTTAAAATGCAACTTTATAGAACTGACACAATGCCACAGATGACAAGAAAAAGATGAAAACAGGCTGTTGGGCTGCTGGCATGCCAGTTAGACCCATAGCCAGTCGCTTAAATGTCCACAACTGCACCATTTGTCAACTAGGATTTTTCTTGTCTGGATGGATGTGTCTGGACAATGTGATACTTCACCAAGCCGTTTGGGAAGAGTAGGACAAAAATCCACATGCAGCATCGGCAATGACATTAACTCTATGCATCGCACTTGTGAGAATGAACTATAGAAACAACCTGAAAAATCCACTTCCCTAACATTTCCCTCCAGCAAGTAAATTCACTCGAGGTCACACCTGACAGGAGTATGATTGCCGCTGCAGGTTAGTGAAGAATATCCCTGCTTTTACTCTTCATGTGTTACATTACTGCTGCTGTGTTTCACGGTATGTTTGCTGCTTTTAAGGTTATCAGCACATCCGCATGTACGACCTGAATTCCAACAACCCAAACCCAGTCATCAACTACGACGGAGTCAGCAAGAACATCACGTCGGTGGGCTTTCATGAAGATGGACGCTGGATGTACACGGGAGGAGAGGACTGCATGGCTCGCATATGGGACCTGAGGTACTGCAAGGCGAGCTCAGTGGCCTGTATTTACTTAGCGATAAACAACAACTAACTGTTATTGCTGCTTTTCCTGTAGATCAAGAAATCTGCAGTGTCAGAGGATCTTCCAAGTAAATGCTCCGATCAACTGTGTGTGTCTGCATCCCAACCAGGTGAGATCCACAGTATATCCTAATCCATAAAGTGACATAACACTGTTGGTTACTGATCTAAGATCTAAAATGATTCTTTCGAGTGTGTGTGCTTGGTGCCAAACATGTGGGTATACTGCGTGTTTTTCAGGCAGAGCTGATAGTTGGAGACCAGAGTGGAGTGATTCACATCTGGGATCTGAAGACTGACCACAACGAACAGCTCATTCCTGAGCCAGAAGTTTCAATCAACTCCGTTCACATTGACCCAGATGCCAGCTACATGGCAGCAGTCAACAGCTCAGTCAGTACCTGGAACACCTACGTGTCACTGTTAATTAAACACTGGAATGTTAAACTGTTAAAACCTGCCTTGTGGTTTCTTGTTTTTTTCTTTTTGTTGACAGGGAAACTGTTATGTGTGGAACCTTGCTGGAGGCATCGGAGATGAAGTGACTCAGCTCATTCCCAAGACTAAGATCCCTGCACATAAACGCTACTCTCTACGCTGCAAGTTCAGCCCCGATTCCACGTCAGTGTCCTCCTTCTCTATATACCTAAATGTTTTCCTGTCTGTTGGGACACCCCTGACTGTAACGACATAAAAAACTCAAAAATGCATCTTTTCCACCAAGTGAGATGCTGTTGCCCTCTGAAAATCTCCTACAGCTGACAAATCGCAACATTATCTTTGTATTTTGTGATATATTCGCTTGGCAAAGATGTTTCCTTTACTGATGTTTTGCTTTTGTCATCATCCTCAGACTACTGGCCACCTGCTCAGCAGACCAGACCTGTAAGATCTGGAGGACGTCCAACTTCTCGCTGATGACGGAGCTGAGCATCAAGAGCAACAACCCCGGAGAGACGTCCAGAGGCTGGATGTGGGACTGTGCTTTCTCCGGAGACTCTCAGTATATTGTTACCGGTGTGTACATGAGCCCTGGAAGACGGGTTATTACTGCAATCCTACAGTCATTACACTGACGTCGCTGTCATTCTACAGAGAGATCATAAATTACTGTCAGTCAAGCAGGGTTACTTTCCTTCAGGTGTAAATGCATCCTCGTAAACAACAATATAATACAAAGCGCATCATTTTTTGTGATTTTAAAAGTTCAATTTGTGACAAACTGAAAAACAAGGGTCAAGGATTTAGTCCCAGCAGGAGGGATGTCACGGTACAGCTCTATCTTTTGAGTACTTTTGGTGTAATTATTTAACCAGAAATAGAAAAAAAAACACACAATATACCAGTAGCAGTAATATTGTTAACATGCATTCTTTTGGTCTTGATAGATGTGCAGTGAAAATCTGACAGCGTGGCCTTACAGCAGTAATGCAGAATTTGTTTTAGAGTTGTGCAACTGCTACTGATAAAGTCGAAAAGCTCTCAATCTGAATGTATGCATTTGTAAGATAAGAGTTTAGGGCGTCTCATGGTTTCTTCAGTTACCACCCGAACGTTGGCCTCCAGCATGAAGAGGAACAATCTGTAAAAGGAAGATTTCTTTTCTCTCCTGACACACACAGGAAGTTTAGAATAAAGTCACAACCTTTTTTCTTTTATTACTGCTGAATATTTAGTTGGTGGAAGTAGGACAAACATTAAACTCCTTATTTCCTGTCCACAGCGTCCTCAGACAACCTGGCTCGCCTGTGGTGCGTGGAGACCGGCGAGATCAAGAGGGAATACAGCGGCCACCAGAAGGCCGTAGTGTGTCTGGCCTTTAACGACAGCGTGCTGGGCTGAGGAGGAGGATGGAGGAGGACATGAAGCCACCGAGGATATCGGACACTGGGTGCAAACGCAGGACGGAAAGTCTTTGGAGGTTGTGACTCAATTCCCAGAAGGTGCGTCAGATTAGTGGGAGCCATCGTCTAGAGAAAAACTGGAGGCTTGTGTTTGAACATCACAGTGACTCTCTGTGGCAGATACCTGGAAGTATTCAGCAGAGCGACACGGCCAAAACATACATTAGCTAACCTTAAAGGGCCAAGCACCTCTTTTTGGCACAAATTTTCACCATGAGTACAAAATCTTTCCATAACAAGAAACTGATACAAGCCTCTGTTTTGTACAGAGCACCATATTTATTACATCAAAAGGACCACGTTATTTATGTTAATTTGTGCTTGGATGTGCTGTAAAATCGATTATTCTCCGCTGCGTGCCATGTGTAATTCATTTGATACTCTTTATTCCAAGTTAAGTTGTAAAGTCTGCTGTTCTGAGTGATCACACGAGAAGCAGAAAGCCTTGAGAATAAACTATGTGCAGCAATTTCAAGGACAAGTCTTTCCTTTTTCAAACTAATGAAGAGAAATTGGCCATAAATACCCACAGTACGTGTCTTTTATTGGACAGATCAGAACACTGACATTGCAACGGGAACGGTTACACATAATTACACTGCAGCAGTAGGTTACGGGAAATACAATTAGAGGCATGTACAAAAAAAAAAAGGCGGGGGGGAATCTTTCCTCTGTAATCTCTGAAGTGTGCCACCAGAGAGGGTATTATACATGAAGGGAGTGACGATGGGGATTTGGCGATAACCATGACAGCCTGTCTCCATCTCTTCTCTCTCGGAAGGATGGAAACGGACTGGAAGGGTTGGCTGCTTCAGCTGGTTTACTGGCGACTGTATGGCACAAAGGAAACAGTCAAAGCTGGGTTTTGTTCTGCTTTTTTTTTTTTCTTGTTAGAGGGAGCAAACGGGCCCTGCGTCGCTTTCAGAGGGAGCAAAAAAAAAAAAAAAAAGACAACTTTGTTTCCCTGATCTTTTTGCTGGGAGGAAACAGAGAACACAGAGTCACTCTGGCAGGTAGTAGAAACACACAGACACGCAGATGTTGCTGGGAAAGCAGATGTCGATGCAGAAGTAGACCAGCCTCTGTTTGCCTGGGCCTGGGACAAATAGAGACACCACAGTGAATTGTATATACAGACTTTTGTGAAAGAGTCAGTCTGGAAAACCAGTGATGATTAACCCTCCTATTACACTGGGTTACAAAAAGATACTGTTTTGAAGGTGTCTAGGATTTTTTAACTGATTTAGGACATTTTTGCAACGCTGAATCCAAAAATGACATCTACTTTTCTGTATCAGGTCAGGTTTTTATGCCAACTCGATTAAAAACTAAATAAATTTAGCCACTAAATTGATTACATGTTTTGATATTAGCGATTGATTTATTTTAGTATTTCTCATGTGAAATCAGATTTTAGAGGAAAAATGTCATTTTCTAATCCTTTTCATAAGCTAAATGATCCAAAAGTTGATGAGCGTAAACATTTGTAAAGGTAAATACAAGTAAATTACATGTTTCATCAAATCAAAACGTTGACCTCATTGAGCAAAACCAGTGTAATGTTTGGATTCAGCAAATTGTCCAGAATCAGCTCAAAAAACTTTGACACCAAATAGGTGTAGACCAGTGTTATCTTTGGGGTCAATTAGACCTCATTCAATGTTTAACATCTCCAATTAAGTCATTGATGTAATTTTTTCAGACTATTTACACATAAACTTGGGGTAACAACTTGAATTATGGTAGTTTTCTGGAGGGTTAAATTGCTGGGGTCAAACTGAACCCAAGGATAAAAGATGTCAGTAAATTTGAAGGTAATAGGAGGGTTAAAGAGACGGCAGAATTTTTTGAGACATTCATTCTGAATTATTTCATTACCATTCTGTGTTTAAAAGATTAATAAATTAAAGGATAAAATTGATCCGTTTCACTCATGATGGTTAAGTTTAGATAATATTTATGGCTTAAAAGCTGCCTGATCAGTAATATTTAGACGACTTGCTGCGAAAGGGTCAAACCTGTCAGCAGCACCCCATGTAGGCTGTTGAGTGAGCGTACAGTGAAGTACGTCATGTTTTTCAGCCGGTCATTTACTGCCGTGGAAAGGTCACGGTACGTCATAGATTAGAGTTGGGTTTCAGCCTGACAAGTTGCTTCGTTACGGAGCTGCCACAGGAATAATCTTAACACGTCTACAGGCTCTGGTGACACTGACTAATGATGGCTATGACCACGCATACATTAGTAATATTTGAAATGTCCAAAATATCAGTGTATAAACGTAGGTGTCTTCCAGTAAACCTGCGCTGACTTTTATATCTGAGACAATCAGTCATTTCATCAATTACTTGACGGGCAGAACATAAACTGGGGTCTGTTTTGATCATCAGCATTCTCTGATTTCCACTTGTGAGAATTCATTTAACTGAATATTGTCGGGTTTTAGATTGACAGACAAAACAAATCATTTCAGCAGATAATACTGGTTTGTGGTGGAGATGTAAACATTTTCCGCATTTAAGATAAAAATGACAGAAATATTTGACAGATTATTTGACAATGAAACCATTTTTAGTTGACTGAGTAAAGGAGTTCTTGGTTCTCAGGATAAACTAGAGTTTTGTGAGACTACTTTAGAAATTAGTGGCTAAGCTAGAACTACATCAGCTGTCCTTAAGTTATGGAGAGACCAGGATCTGAAGCATGAAGTTGTTATTCCAAAAAAAGTCACCCAGAATTCCCACTGAAGGTGTAAACCTACAAGAACAAGTCAAATGATATTGAAACTGAATAAATGTTTAAGTCCCTCTCTCGACACTCTTAAAACTGTATCAAAGCCACATAAATACTCGTTTCTTTCCATGAAAACAATCCCTTCGTACCCGAAAATGACTTAGATGTAACTCTACACTATTGCTAACATGAGAGCGTGCAGATCTATGAAGTCCCTGCATCTTTCTTCACTTACCCTCCCAGTTCGCTGCAGTTTAAGCGCACCAGCTCACCCACTCAAACACCGTATAACTGCTCTACACAACACAATGACAGGCTGTAATATTGAACTGCAGATTGACTGTTGGTGGAGGTCTAACAAGTTGATATTTTACAGGTGAGCTAGAAATGGCCTCTCCTCAGAGTGATTTGATTCTGGGGTCAATTAGTGCAAACACAGCTCCACTAGAGGTCAAAGGTCACTCTTTTGAAAATGCTGTTTACCTTCAAAAGAGTGGAAGATAGATTTATGGTATTTGGTGCAGATAAGTAACCATGCTGGGGCTTTCTGTTGGTGATGTTATGATGGTGATATTTTAAATAACATGTAGTGCGTACATGGATAGTACCCATTTCACCTTGGACAACTAGCCAACCAAAGAAAACACCTATTTTGTGGTAAGTTGGACAGATCCCTGGTTTACTGGGCCTCACTGCAGTCACGGCCAGCAGGGGCAACTATATCCCTCTACTAAGGACATCTACCTTGTTTTTGTCTGAATCTTGAAAGCTTTTCTTTTACATGATACGTGACACTCGTGCCAAAGCAGCCGTCTCACCCTCGGCCCTCCTGGTCCAGCGGACAGACCTGTCCCGACACAACGCCTGCAGAGGCTCCTCCAGCGACGACACGTTCACCTGACCGGCTGCCAGCACTCCCAGGAACTCCGTCTGCCTCCGGGTCTCATTCCCAGACAGCTGGAACTGCTGAGGACAGAACCGCAGTGTCAGTATCCAACAACAGAACCTTTATCTTCTGCATAAAACAACTGAAGCTCCTGAGCTTTTACTTCATAAGTGTGAGGAATCATATTCAACTCATAGAAGGTGAAAAGAAAAGCAAAACTGAAACTCGATCTGCTATTAGCCTGAAGTCTTGGCTGATGAGGTCAACATGGTTGCACATTTGCGCTCTTATTCGTCACAAAGGCTGTGTGTAATTGCACCACTTACACCTCTGATTGGCTCTGATAGTGAGCCACTTAAAGCCCCGTTGTGCTCGAGTGGGTCACGTAACAACCAGTTTTCCTCCGCAGTAAAAGACCAAGAAGACCATTGTGCCTCGACACGGACACAAACCACAACCACTGTCCCGCCTATTAAATGACCACAACAGCCAGGTTTAAATACTGAGGAGCTGTATGAGATACGTGACACCACGAGACGGGATCAGAAACTCAACTGTAGCTTTTGATGCGTGGAAATGGGGTATTGTGCAGAAAGATGGTAAGAGAGACAAACAGGACTCCCTCTCAGTTTACCTGCGAGCTCCCACATCTCGTCTCTGCTCTCCATTTAACCACAGCCAGGGCCATTCTCCTATGCTCTCATAATTAAGAATCAGATAATCCCACACAAATCATATCTGAGGGCTCGATTCAGAACCAATAGCGGAGATGCAGGTATTTGCCAACAAGCGGACACACACGGGCCCTTTCTAATGCGCCGACCTGTATTTTAATCCAAAAGAGGCGTCTTAAAAGCTAAAAAGCCCTCGCACAGAGTGGCCATTGTGCACCGGTCCAGGGCTCAGGCTCGCTGCCGTAGCCTCCTGTAAAAAGATCCCGGGCACGCCGAGGGGGCCGGAGGGATCAGATGTGCTGAGGAATTCAGCCGTGGAGGCGAGAGAGGCAGACTATGAGGCTCTTCGGGGCCTCATGTACGCTTCACCCCTCTCTTTGTGCGGCACGGCCGGGAAGTCATGCAAAACCTATGAAACCCAGCAGGTCCTGGCTCAGTGGTGCAGGGACAGAAATGCCAGTTCGCACATTAGCGAGGCTGCGGCTTTAGAAACACCTGGCAGAGCTAAAAGGGCAACCTTCTTTTTCCTTAATATGCCAAAGTACGCTTTGATCCGGCGAGGAAAACCCTATTGTGTAACGCCAGTGTTTGGTTCTCACGTGCCGAAATGTTCGCTACCTTGCGCGTCGGCTCGTGGAGGAGGGAGTTGACGTTGTCGTAGTCGGGCTGCTCCATCTCTCGGAGGAAGCAGCTCTCCTGGTCGACGGGTTTGTAGCATATCAAACCCTGCAACGCAACAGCAACAGACGTCTTAGTTATCAGAACCTAAGAACCTTTCTTGTTCCGTCTAATACAGGGTGTTGACACCTTTGGAAAGTCAGACATGCAACTGAAATTACTACAGCACATTAGCAGATCAGTACTTAAGACTGGGTTGGCACAATTTTCAGTTTTTTTGGTTGCTTACTTTTAATATTCATCATCATCATATAATAAGTCTTTCTATATAATCCTCGATATTACAATATGAATAACATTGGAGTTACAATAAAAGTCCAGTTCTATGTGTGTGGTCCTCAAATGGACTTAGCGGTTCGTTATGCGGGGTGGCCAGACTTTAGTCCAAAGCGGCCCCCCTGGACCACGCTTTTGCTCCGCCCCTGTCTTTGCATCTCGCAACAACTGGAGACAAAATACAGAAAATCTCACGCAAATCCACTTACACGTTTTATATCGAAGAGCACGGTGGACGTCTGATTCGCCGGCGAGGTAACCGAAAAGGTCACCAGGTCATTCTGCTGGTCCACGACGGCCGACTGGTTGATCAGAGCGCCGGCCTGATCCGGAGCTGTGATTCTCACAATCTGTAAGGACTGCAGACACAGATGTGTTGGATCAAACGCATCGACTGGGGTAATAACAAGAGGGTTTTTAGCGGATGAGGCAGGTGGGAGACGTACCGGAGAGTGGGGCTGAGACAACCCGAGGTGCCCCGTCAACCCGAGGGCGATGACGACCAGGAGGAGAGAGGCTGAGAGGCTGAGCCAGAAGGCCTTGTGTGGGAAGTGGGAGCGGGAGGACACATCAGGACCCCCATCCTGGAAAAAGGTTTGCACACATGAGAAACAGCGACACAGTATTTAGTCAGCACTTCACATTTTACTATGAGATTGACTGGTTCCTGTAACTCTCAGCATGTGGAACACCTGTTGCTGCTTGTATTGTACTGTAAGTGGACAGATGTCAGCAAAAACCAAAACAACTCCCTGCTCTGACCCCTTTACCAGCCCAGTGTGTAGCAGCCTCCACTCACCGTGCACTGTGCTTCCTCCAGCCGGTTCTCCGAACGCTTCCAGCACCTCACCATCCTGTGTCCCTTGACGGCTCCTCACTCGGTCTGCTCCCTTCTCGCAGCTATCGGCATGGAGCTGTGGTCATGACCAGCGCTGACTGAGACTCGGCTCACCTGGCCAGCGTCTCTTTTGTCACCGCAGACCTCCACCCCTTCCTCCTCCTCCTCTCCCTCCTCCTCCTCCCC